GGTTCTAATCTCACAGGCTCAAGGTTGACTCAGCCTTCTATCCTTCCGAGGTGGGTGAAATGAGGACCCAGACTGTGGGGGCGATATGCTGACTCTGTAAACCGCTTAGAGACGGCTGAAAGCCCTATGAAGCGGTATATAAGTCTAACTGCTATTGCTATTGCTATAACTGCTATGAAGATTACTTTTACCATGAATACAAGCAGTTAAATACAGAAAGAAAGCAGAAAGAAAAGAGCAATATTGTGAATGGTTATTAGGCATGATTCTTAGGACTAAATAGAGCTGCCATGTTTAAAATGCTAAAAAGGTGGTGGGGGGAGCTATTAGGTAAAAGAGAAACTCTTACGTAACTCTTTGCTGCCACCAAGTGATCATCCATAAGTTTGCAGCCCACATTAAAAATCCCATTGAATCTTGCAATTATAGTATGTATGCAAGCATCCGTAAAAATACGGTATGTAGAAATGTTCCTTAGCCTCAATTTTTTTAAGTCTGTTTTGGTTTAAAAGGTTAAATAATTAATTACAATTATACCCTGGAGGAAAGATAGTTAATACGTAAATTTAAACGTTAATTAGATGATAACGAAATCAGCACTAAAATAGCTATTGAGCGGCTAGGCTAGTATCAGACACACGCACACACCTACAAAAAAAAATACATAGAGAGCCACATTACATCCTTATTTGCCATAAATGTTAACTCTAAATAAGTGCAACCTGTCCATAAATATTAGTTAAAACAATTATTTCAAAGGAAAGTCTGATGGGTAAAAAAACATGAAGGAAAAAAATTCTCTCGAGAGAATTTTTTTTTTTTTAAAGAAATACCAGCACTCATTTAGAGTTTGGGATTTGTGAAATGAAAGAAAGCTTTAAAAGAGGCAAACCTGATTGGCTGAGGCTGCTGCAGCGAAGGGAACACTTGCTGTAGGAGCTGTTGGTGCAGAGACAGTGGCTGACGAAGCGCTGTGCATCATGGAAACTTTCAGGAGGGGAGCCAATGAAGCGGTGTGGGTAGCGTTATGGCAATGGAAGTGGAATTTTTTTTGGCATGGTGAATATCAGAGCAGCAAGCCATCATATGTTAAACCAGCAGATGGCATGCAATCACAATGCAAAGCAAGAAAGCATGGTAGAGAAATAAAACAAAAGGGAAAATAGCTTATTACACGTACAATTTAAAGGAGTCATAGTTATCAGCAATTCCCAGGGGAAAAAAAAGGTGTTTTAGGTATTTGCTAACGTTATCCAAGTATTGGGTAATGTTTAGGTATTCTTCCTATAGTTTCAATAATATTTGAAAAAAACCTGGTGCGTGAATCTTTTTGGAACTGTGATGGAACTTTTTGGAACTGTGGCTGGAGAATTCTGGGAGTTGAAGTCCACAAGTTTTAAAGTTGCTAAATTTGGGAGCCTCTGGTCTAGAAGATGATCTAGTTCTGAAGTTACCCTATCTCATGCTGTTCTAAAAGCTCCTTCCAAAAAGAAGGAACCAGGGGAGCCTTACTTGAGGAAGAAAGTCAATGTATTTTTGACACAGTATTTTTTGAAAACATGTGCTCTAAGTTGATTTTAGTTATCAGTGCATGATGATTTTCTCATGAAGCATTCACCATCATCATCTCCTTTTAATGAACCCATGATCCCTTGCAGGGTGGAGTCTGGGCAACTGAATGGAGCCGAGTATTTACTGGCTGGATGCCCTTCCTGTCGCCAATCCAGTTATATATATTCTCAATGTGCCCAGAGAATGAAATACGGTATCTGTCTCTACCTAACATCAAACACACACAGCCTCCTCATTTTGAGGAGAGATCTCCACCTCTAGGCCACCACACCACTCATGAAATATTCATCCTCCTTCCAAATTAGCTTGTTTCATTGGGATGAGGAACAATTTCCCTGCTTTTTGCCCCGCCTTTCCCCTATATAAAACTTGCCTGTCTGTTCTTTTAATGCTTCTCAACATCTTCACATAGACAGCAATGACTAATGGAGTAAAAGCCACAGGGAGTCCTTTATCTTTTTTTTTTTTTACAACACCTTCACAACCGGCAAGTTTTTTGTTGCTAAGGGTTACTGTTAGAAATTCTGCATACATCCCTACAGAACAAAACAGTGCACAATCCACATGTGCTTTTCTGCTTAACTTCCACAAGAAAGCAGGTAACTTTATACAGAGAGAAGGACATAGAGTGTATGCCATAGATGCAACTACACACTTTAATACACTGCCATCTACTGGCTGGATATTATTGTACTGTTGCAAAAAATACATGAAAAATGTATTCCAACAGTTACCTTTCTATAATTTTAATGTGGGTTCCAGCAACTGCATCACTAACAAAGAGGAAGTTACTTTGTCTTGATACATGATCCTTTTTGAAATAGTGCTTTTTGTCATCTTCAGGCAATATGGCCAGCTTATTTTTAAACCACTGAAAACTACATTTCAGTCTAATTCTGTCTCCTTTTTTTATGTCACTACATGAATATATTGTCTACTAAAATAAAGGCTGTTTTGTTATCATTTTCTTAGCTTATTTCTGAAGATTCTGATTCAATTTATTGATTATGATTCTATGTTCTATTGAACATAGCATAACTTGTGTTAATGTGCATAGTATTATGATGTATCTCTCTAACTGGCTCTTTTGCTGGGTAATTCCCTGTCATTTATAGGTCCTGCTTTCCTGGACAATTGTGCAGGACCCAGAAGCATTACTGAGCATGTCAATCTTGTTCTGCTTCTTTTATACTACCGTTTTATTCAACACTTTTTTTTACCAACATTTGCTGAGGCTGAACAATGTCTAATACAAATTTTTGCTTCCAACAAATTCCTCTCTCCCTTTTATTTCTTAGCATTTTGTATCAGTTTCCATCACTGCCTTTGCTATTATTTAATTACCTGTTTCTTACGTAGGTTTCTGCACTGTCCATGAATAGGTTCAGGATTAGTGGTGGGATTAAATTTTTTTTCTACCGGTTCTGTGGGCATGGCATGGCTTGGTGGGCATGGTTGGTGGGCCTGGCTGGGGAAGGATACTGTAAAATCTCCATTCCCTCCCCACTCCAGGGGAAGGATACTGCAAAATCCCCATTCCCTCCTGATCAGCTGGGACTTGGGAGGCAGAGAATAGATGAGGATGGGGCCAGTCAGAGGTGGTATTTACCAGTTCTCCGACCTACTCAAAATTTCCACTACCGGTTCTCCAGAACTGGTCAGAACCTGCTGAAAACCACATCTGTCCAGGATGTTTTCTCGGAAACAAAGCAGAAGAGGCTGACCATGCTTTCAGGAATATTTCTCAACTTCTTAATCTTGACTATGGCCCTCACATTCTCTGGGAGTCTGCCATTCAAAGACTTACTGGATCCAACTCTGCTTGGCTTCTGAGCATGTGCAAAGTCTGCTAAATCCCCCCCCCCCATCTGCTTTACCATATATAGTTTACTTATGAGGCACATAATGAAGTAAACTATATATATATACATGGTAAAGTAAAAACTCTGGTAGTGACCATATAAAGCAGAGATCTCCAAACTTGGCAACTTTAAGACTTGTGGACTTCAACTCCCAGAGTTGAGAGTTGAAGTCCACAACTCTTAAAGTTGCCAAGTGTGGGGACCCCTGGTGTAAAGGGATAGGGTCATGTTTCTTTGGCAACAAAATATAAGTTGTTCATTATTGCTTTATTCTTTTTTTGACTTCCTAGTAGTATATATCTATGAGCTGAGTTGGCGCAGTGGTTAAATGCAGCACTGCAGGCTACTTCAGCTGACTGCAGTTCTGCAGTTCGGCTGTTCAAATCTCACTGGCTCAAGGTTGACTCAGCCTTCCATCCTTCCGAGGTGGGTAAAATGAGGACCCGGATTGTTGGGGGCAATATGCTGACTCTGTAAACTGCTTAGAGAGGGCTGAAAGCCCTATGAAGCGGTATATAAGTCTAACTGCTATTGCTATTGCTATGAGAAAATAGTGTTAAATAAAGATGGCAGAAATTGTATCCAACCTCTTCTTTCTTCCCAGGCTGTTTGGGTAAACAAATATTCAGAGTTCACTATTTCATGAGCATCTTCAAATAGTTCATATTTAAAATTCAAATATGAGTTCAATTTTTTATTACATTCATGAATAATATTCTAACATAATGGCAACCATTTGATAAAGATTGAGATAGTTCATTTTATATTGTAATTTCCTAACAGTGAAGTTTCATTATTATACTGAAGTAAAAATATAATGAACTTCCTAATTTTGGAAATGGAAAAATGTAGCTATTAAAACAACCTGAATTTGATTTTCTATTCTCTTTTGACTTTTGTTTATATGTGTGAGTCTTTGTGTTTGTTTATGTATATTTCTGTGTATGTGTGTGTATGTGTGTATATGTGTGTGTGTGTACATTCAAATACACATTCACATTTATGGCCCTATAAGCACAATTTATTTTATAATACATTAGATGTAACCTAACTACTATCTAAAATTATTTTATACACTCAACAAGGAAAGTGAAGATTATAATAATTAATTTTGATTAATTTTTCCTTATATAAGTATAAAGTGGCGTATGAAAAAGTTGAGGGCATCTGGGAAACACAAATTAAAATCTTGATTTTAAGGCACAAGTACTAGGGCTGGAAATTCAAACACTACCCTTATAATGTGATTACTCAAAATTTAATTGAAAAAGGTTTGTTGGACAAATGGCTAAATTAGAAAAGGGAAATTTTCTAATGTTTCAAAATTTAAAACTGTACTGCTATATATAATTAAATTAAAAGATAATTACTTCTTAAAAAGCACTTACAGAACTGCAATGTTAAATAGCTTTATAGTAGTTCAAATGAAACATATTTAATGATTATTATTTTTTCAAAATATTAAGATAACATTTCTGGGAAATACTGATAAAAACTTTTTTTACAACACAGCGAAAAAGAAAATGTAGGCATACCACTATGAAACTTCAAAATACTAATGAAGTTAAATTGCTTTTTTCAATAGTTTGTCACACAATAATGCTCGCATTATAAAATATACGTTAAAAAAAGCAAAAGCACACTGAACTTCATGATATAAGTGCATTTTGCAGTAGGGTTGGCATTGCAAATGATGATGCATCTAAGTAGCCAGGTTTTGTTTCTTTTTTTAAAAAAAATAAATAAATGTCAAATGTTTTAACCATTCAAGCGAAAATTCAAAATAACCATTTATGTCTAATTTACATTTTAATTCTCCAAACAAAGAAAGGTAGAGAATATTATTAAAAAGAGATCAATAAATAAGGTTGAAACCTACCAATACTGGTAGCAGGTGTCATGCACAAAACTGACCCTGTGTCATGCAAATGGTAGGTGAAAAAAAGGTGAATAAAGGGAAGAAACAGGTTAGCTGTTTAGAGTTAACATTCGAAGATCCAAGCATCTCAAGGAAAAACCAAAGTGAGTTAAACAGAAGTTCAAAAAGGCTATTCATAACTTCACTGCTATTCTAAAACATTTCATTTCTATGTACACATCTGTATAAATATACATCAAATGAAATTCTTTACTACAGTCAATGATCAGATGTTATCAATATGTTACGGAATGTGTCATAATCTTCACAGCAAACATTTCATTTAATATTGAACAATGGGACATTCTCATTAAAAATAATTCAGTTTGAATAGAATGTATAACAATAATTGTTTTACAATGTGATCTCTATTTCTCTCAGCCTGGTGTCATCTGCAAATATATTTTAGTTCCCCTTCTATTCCCTCATCTAATTCATTATGAATTACTTTAAAAAGTACTGGGCCTAAGACAAAACCTTGGGGTACTCCTTGCTTACTTCCCTCTATGTAAAGGTAGTTCCATTAAGGACTACACATTGTGTGCGATTTGTCACCATTTACAAACCCATCTGGTGGTGATGCCCATATTTTTCTAACTTACTAAGAAGATGGTTGTGATCTACTTTGTCAAATGCCTTACTGAAATCTAAGTATACTATGTCAACAGAATTTTGCTGGACCACTAATTTAGTTACTTTGTCATAGATTGAAATGAGATTTGTTTAGCATGATCTGTTTTTGACAATCTGTGTTGGCTGGCTTCTGGTTATAATTTTGCTTGCTTCTAGGTGTTCACAAATCTGTAACTTATCTGTCTTTCTCACGATCTTCCTAGGTATTGATGTGAGGCTGATTGGTCTGTAGTTTTCTGCATCCATTTTTTCCCTTTTTTGAAGATGGGAATCACATCAACTCTTTTCCAATCCTCTGTTAGTTCCCTGGTGCTTCAAGATCTTTGAAAAATATGGTTCAAAGTTTCCGAGATCACATCTGCCACCTCCTTCAGAACTCTGAGATGTAATCCATCTGGTTCTGGTGGCTTGAACTCATCTAGGGTGGATAAGTGTTGTCTTACTATTTTCTTGCCTATTTTGATTTGTACTCCAGTCTGTCTTTTACTGTTTTGTTCTTGGTAGAGGTTGGGCTGTTTTTTTTTCTTTTTGTATGAAGACAGATGCAAAGAATGAATTAAGCTGTTGCCCATCACTTCCTTGCCATCTTCTCCCATTAGTGGACCAATTGAATTTTTTCTTGTTTTTTACATGTTGAAAGAAACTTTTTTTTATTATCTTTGATTTTTGTTACAAGTGTGAGTTCATTATGAGCCTTAGTTTTCCTGATTTCACCTTTGCAGATTCAGGCTATATGCTGCCATTCTGCCTTAGTTATCTGTCCCTCCTTCCATTTTTCAAATACTAATCCTTTTTTGTCTTAAGCATCTTAGTATTAAGCACCATTCAAACTGACAGAACTCGTATGTATCAAACAACTGTGCACCAAAATGTGTATGTACAGTATTGTTAAAATATTGTTTCTAGAATATTCTGCTTGTTAACATTAGTTTATTTGGGACCTTGTGTCAACCTGCAAGTTACAGTTTACTATTATCTACATAAGAAATTGTGAGTTTCATATTCACATGTTGTTCTCTTAATGGCATGATATGCTTTTCTTTTGAAGTCCCTTTTATGTTACAAATACAATCAGATCAGAATTTGATGGCTAGATACCTATGGGTTATTGCAAAAAGCAATCTGTGTATGTATGTATATATGTATGTATGTATGTATGTGTATGTGTGTGTGTGTGTGTGTGTGTATGTATGTATGTATGTATGTATGTGTGTGTGTGTGTGTATATATATATCAATGAATCATTTTACCTTAATGTATGCAATAGACACATAACCATGGACAGAGAACTGATTTGGCATTGGTGATTTTTATTTTAAAATGATAATTTTTTTAAATGCCTCCATTGGAGTATAAGGGAAGGAAAATGATGTTTGCTGGGAAGGGAAATCATGGGGCAGATTAACAGTAGGAAAATAGTTTTCAAAAACGTTTTAAGGTCCCTCTAGCAAATATTGAAATGGCAGATAAAGCAGGAAAAAGAATGAAGATAAGAATAAGACATGTAATTTAATTTACAGTGATAGAAGATTCTTTTAATCTTATTCTGTGCTATTGCCAGGCTTCATAGCTTTTGTGAAACTTTCTCATTTGGCATAATACATGGGGCCTCAAGTTATCATCAAATGTGATAGTAGATGAACAGTGTAACAGATCTGAAATAGAATTTTTCCTCTGGAAAGAAATAAAAGAATAGCCTTCTGTATACATCAGAAATAGAGAAAGAGAGGGCAAGCCAACCTCACAGGATAATTGTTTAGAGGAAAAACAGAATAAGAAGCAGAAGCATAATATACAGGCAGTCCTCAACTTACAACAGTTCATTTAGTGACTGTTCAAAATTACAATGGCACTGAATAAAGTGATTTATGACCATTTTTCACAGTTACAACCTTTGCAGCATCCCCGTGGTCATGTGATCAAAATTCAGATGTTTGTTACTTAGTTTGTACTTATGATGGTTGCTGTGTCCTGGGATCATGTGATCACCATTTGTGATCTTATGACCCTGGGGAAACCAGATTCACTTAACAATGGGGTTACTAATTTGACAACTTCATTGATTCACTTAACAATTGTGGCATGAGATGTCATAAAATGGGGAAAAACTCACTAACGAATGTCTCATTTAACAACAGAAATTTGGGGCTCAATAGTGGTCGTAAGTCAAGGACTACCTGTACTCTGTCTTGGGTTGTAGGAAAAAAGGCAGGATATAGTAACAACCACAAAAGCAATTTTTCCCAGTAAATCTTAAAATATTTGCTATGTCCTCCCCCCCCCCCCAAAGTTCTTCTATGTAGAAAATATCTATAGAGAACATATATATGTTCTTCTATATCAAAGATACCAAAGAACTGAGACAAGACCCAAAGGTGCTTTTTCAGGAGGCAACTGGACTTTCTTGCTTTTTCTTTGAAGATGTTTTACTTCTCATCCAAGAAACTTCTTAAGCTCTGACTGGATGGTGGGGAATGGAAGGATTGATATTCCTTTCAGGCTAAATCCTTCCATTCCCCACCATCCAGTCAGAGCTGAAGAAGCTTCTTGGGTGAGAAGTGAAACGTCTTCAAAGAAAAAAACAAGAAAGTCCAGTTGCCTCCTGAGAAAGCAGCTTTGGGACAACCATGACCTGGATGACTGAGAATCTCTACAAACTCAGACAAGAACATGCCTCTTTCCAAAAGACTGTTTGTAAGACCAAGCTTAGTCAAATGGTTCAGACTGAAAAATTTTTGATTCTCTTTTAGGCACTTCTAAACATTTTATACCGTGTTTCCCCGAAATAAGCTCCTGGCCTTATTTTCAGGGAGGTTTTATTATTTTTGACGTGCAGGAGGGAGCGAACGTGGTCATCTCATAGCTGCTGCTATGTAGCAATATTTTCGGGGGTAGGCCTATTTTTGGGGGAGGGCTTATTTTAGCGCATGCACTCAAAAGCCCGATTGGGCATATTATCTGGGGAGGTCTTATTTTCAGGGAAACAGGAATATTCTGTGTTTCCCTGTTTCCTGTTCAGGGAAACAGGAATATTCTTCGGAAATATTTTTTTTTTAAAAAAATTTTTAAGTCTTGTCAATGTCCCCCAAGAGATGGCAAAAGGACACAATTATTCAGATGAAAGCACAAGGAATGGGATTACGGGGAGCTTTTTTTATCCAGAGACAAAGGAATCAAAATATTTCTTTACTTCTAAACAGAACTCACCTGTGGGAATAAATGATGCATGTTGCTGCAACTGTGCACTAGCAAGGGCCTGTTGGTAGTGCAAGAAACTGGGATTAAAAACAGCACTGGCACCATTGTTTTTCTCAAGTGCTTGTCTCTTTGGTAAAGGATGAAGGACAGCAGGTGGAAAGCCCTGTGAATTAAATACACACATACACACACAAATACAAACACACACACATACACACATGTATGTATATATCCATATATATCTATATACATAGATTTATATCTTAAATGAGGATTGTGTAATTATTGCAGCTTTTTCAACATTTGAAGAAGCCTTGCCATGCTCCAAAGGCAGCAGTGTAAAATTTTATTATTACTGGTAATTAATGCATGGCACAATTAAACTAAAATTATAGAATCATAGTAATTAAACTAAAAAGAGAGAGCCTAGGGAAAATATATTAGCTAGAGTTTAAAATATGACTGAAGCGTTATTTGCATTTGTTTCTATTTATAAAAAGCACATGTTATTTATTATAGAATAAATAGCGTTAATGATAAAAAACACATTTTTCCTTCACTTCGACTTTTAAAATAAGTCAATTGACAAGGAAACTTTGTTAGAAAAGATGTTAGGTTATTCTGTCATAGTAACACGTAAAAATGATATTATTTAAATACTGAAATTATGCCTTATAATTAAGAGTGCAATTCAGATAAACATTACATTTATTTGCATTTTGGAAAAGCTACATGCAAAGCAAAAGGTGAAAGTGATAGTACCAGGTCTACAGTTGCTTCAAGAGGTCGCTTCATTGCTTTGGCAGTCGACTGAGTCTTTTTAAGAACAGGCAGCGAGCACATGATGGCAGTGGCCAATGGAATTCAAGCGAATTAACATACAGGTAAACAGCAAGCAGAGGTGCATCATGGGAACGGCATTGCATTGTGGATAGTTGAGAAGGAAAAAAATATTCTGAATGCAAGATACAACATACAGAACACTAGACATGCACAACAACAGAAATACTTCATCATCTAAAGAAATGAACATTACATCTTGGATTAGTACTGAAGCAAAAAATGCATTTATCATAACTTAGTTAAAAACATATAAGAATAAAACAGATGTTTGGAATTTAGGAAAGTTGAATAAAATAGCAGCTTGCAGACAAATAAGCATCAGTAAGCTTTTATATTATGTAGAAAAGCAGTTATTGCAATGATTTTCCTAAACAAATACTAATAAGTGAGTTATGCCATATTAGGAAGCACATATTAATTTCCAAAAATTAACAATCAAAATTGAAATCACTGGAAAACAATATTTTTAATGAAATGAACGCATATATAAAACCTAGAAAGATTAATGTTATTTTAAAGTCTGTTTTTTACTTAGATCTTTAGTTTATGTTACTTCTGATCCTTAATTTATCATGTTCAATATATTTTAAATGTTGTCTAATTTTAACTATATTAGGAACCACAGCCTACCATGTTAAGTAGGAAAAAATTGTTACATATTTTGTTTCAGAATTTTAACAGAAAAACAGAATTGGAAGGGACCTTGGAGGTCTTCTAGTCCAACCCCTGCTCAAGCAGGAGACCCTATACCTATACCATTTCAGGCAAATGGCTGTCCAGTCTCTTCTTGAAAACTTCCAGTGATGGGGTACCCACAACTTCTGAAGGCACGCCGTTCCACTGTTGTCACTGTTAGGGGATTTCTCCTTAGTTCTAGGTTGCTTCACCCATTGAATAGTTCCCATTCATTGTTTCTTGTCTTGCCTTCTGGTGCTTTGGAAAATAGGTTGACCCTCTTCTTCAATGTAGCAGTCACTCAATATTGAAATACTGATATCATGTCACCCCCTAGTCCTTCTTTTCACTAGCCTAGACATACCCAATTCCTGTTCTTCATACATTTTAGCCTCTAGCCTCCTCATCTTTGTTGCTCTTCTCTGTACTCTTTCCAGAGTCACAACTTCCTTTTTATATGTGACCAAAACTGGATGCAGTATTCCAAGATTGGTCTTACTAAGGCATACAATGGTACTAACACTTCACGTGATCTTGATTCTAGCCTTCTGTTAATGCAGCCTAGGATTACACTGGCTTTTTTGGTGGCTAAAATAAACTGCTGGCTCATATTTAAACAATTGTCCATCAGGACTCAAAGATCCCTCTCACAGTTATGGCTTTTGACCCAGGTTTCACCTAATCTGTACCTATGTATTTGATTTTTCTTGCCTAAGTGTAAAACTTTTACTTGTCTCTACATTGAATTTCATTTCATTTCAAGTCCAATGTTCAAGTCTGTCCAGATCCATCTGGTTCTTGAGTCTGTCCTCTGGGATGTTGGCTATTCCTGTCAGTTTGGTGTCGTCTGCAAATTTGATGAGTTCCCCTGTATTCCCTCATCTAAATCATTTATAAAGATATTGAAGAATACTGAGTCTACAATAGAACCTTGGGATACCCCACTGCTTACTTCCCTCCATATAGATGTAGTTCCATTAAGGACTACACACTGAGCACAGTTAGTGAGTCAGTTACTGACTCATACATCTGGTGGCGATGTTGACTATCCCACATTTTTCTAACTTACTAATAAACTCTCATATTCTGAATTTTGTAAAGATGATGATGAGTTCTAATTAACTTTTGTTCTCTTCCAACAGGGATATCCACAATGCTGATCTGCACCATTTTCTCACTCACTCCTCAGAAATTTAAAGGTCTACTAATCTGGATTTGTTTGTTTAAAAATGTCTAGTATTGCTATATTATAGATGTATTTTCAGTATTGGCACAAATGGTTTTGTTCTCAGCCAAACTGTAAGCTAGCTATGCAAAACAACAACACACCATACAATAATGCTGTGTTGGATCAGACTAAGGATCGTCTAGTTCAGTGCTCTGTTCCCACAGTGACCAATCAAATGCCTCTGGGGAGCCCACAAGGAGGTCAAGAGAGCATTAAAACCTCCTGGTAGCTATTCCCTAGCAACTGGTCCCTAGAGGCTTACTGCCATTGAGTACCCTAGAGTCATAATGCCTAGTAGCTCTCATTTTGTCCTTAGAACTTTAAACATTTTTAATCCAAATTGGCCCACATCATTGCATTTTATGGCAGCAAATTCTAAAATTTAACTATCCACCGACATGATTAAAGTGATTTCAGCAAGATATTAAAAAAAAAGATAACTTCTCTAACTTTACATGATGATGAATGGAGTCCTCACACAAAACAAAAATATGGTTCTTAATGCAGTGTTTTTAAGCAGTGTTTTTAAGCTCGCACCTGTCAATTCCTGTATGGAAAACATTACATGCTCCTTCTTTTTAAATAAATTCATGCAAAATTATGTTGGTTCATAATTTTCTATTTATACTTGATTATGTTTATGTTTTATTATGCTGTATCAAATTATGTTCGATCATATCAATCTATCTAGATTTCTATTTAAAAGGAGGTAGATGTTTGAGTTCTGATCCCTAAAAGCAGATATCAATAAATGTAAAATTGATTATGGACAAATTGGACATAATTTGTCTGGAATGGCATAGGGCATGTTGGCAAACCTTTATGCACCTTTTCCCACAAAATGGACCGTGTGTGTGCGTGCCAAAAACTGGAACAGCTGCCACCAGAAGATGATCTTCCAGACCAGGTGGCCTGTGCACATGCTGGCAACCAGAAGATTATCTTCCTGGCACGCACATGCATACCAGGTCACTGTTCTTCTGGTTTCTGGTGCTTCCACGCATATGAGAACTAGCTGGAAGGCGCACTGGGATCTGGAAGAATAACAGGCAACGGCTTGCGTGCCCGGAGAGATGGTTCTGCGTGCCACTTCCGCCCATAGGTTCATCATCATGGGCATAAGGTCTCCTGCTTGAGCAGGGAATTGGAGTAGAAGACTTCCAAGATCCTTTCCAACCCTGTTATTCTATGTTCTATGATTCTGGTAGATTTAAGAGCATTTTGGAAGCTTGCAAGAAGCTACTATAAGTATAAGTATAATCTTTATTGTCATTGTACTTAAATACAATGAAATTGGTTGTATTAATATATTACTAAATATATTAGCTGTTTTTCTAACAATATTTCGTATGGTGGCTGGATGTACAATCTACAGTTTACATCTACTATATAAAGTAACTACATTTGTTTTATTATTTGCCTTATGGCAAGAATGAGGACAGATTTTTGTATTGAGGATACTTCACTTCCTCCCCTGAACATTCTGCTTGTATTATCTAATATACTGAAAATAATTTGCTCTCATTGACCAAATAAATTATCATAAAGGGTCCACTTATAGGAAAGACATTCTCAGGATAAAACAGTTCTTTCAGCACTTCTAAACTAAAAGAAGCTATTTTTGTAAAGATACTGTAAGTAGAAATGTCATGGTCATTAAATTGATATTCCTACAAGATTTTAGGATGATATAGAAAGCTATCTGTTTAGTACTGCTTGTTTCGAAAATAGCAATACAATGACGTCTTTATAAAGCCAAAAGGTAGACACAAACAATATAATATTCCATCCACTTAAAGAGGTTCTTGGGACTGTGACTAGATGTCACAAATAAGGAATGAAGTTTACAAAAATGCCAATAGGTGACAAAGTGATATTTTCTTCTTTTTTTTAAATGGTGGGTTCAAAAGATCATCCTAGCAAAATGATATCACAACAGAACCATCCAAGGTTATCATTATATGGTATACAGTGAGCGATTGGACAAAGTTTCTTGCACAGGTTACCTTCCAGGGATTCAACCTATATAGAGAATGCACATTAACCTATCGCAAACTATATTTCCACCTAATTTCTTTTTCAATCTGAAAAAGAAGACATCCAGTACTTTGCCTTCAATTTAAAAGATATGTGTATTAATTACTTCTTCCTTCCTTCCTTCCTTCCTTCCTTCCTTCCTTCCTTCCTTCCTTCCTTCCTTCCTTCCTTCCTTCCTTCCGTTTTAATTACTTAATTTAATTACAGTTACTGTGTAAGACACCATGACTCCAGTTGGAGCAGCCAACATGCAAATTTAATAAATAAATAACCTAGCTACATAGATCACTGCATCGGATATATTCTAAACCACCATGTGAATTTAAAGGTGTATGTTGTTAGCAGACAAGTTTATCCAAATTTCAAAGCATTCAAGTGAAAACCAAGTTAATCTTTAGAAATAAGCGTCTGTACTAAGTACGAAGCAAAAGGCTGAAGAAACAAGGGCAATTAGATCTTGAGCTTGGCCACGTTTCAGAAAGTTATCCCTTGTGCTGAAATTACTGAGTGAAACAGATTTTCTGGGTTGCTAACTCGTAACAAAAATCCGGCTCAAAAGTAGCCAGCTCAAGGACTTAAAGCTGACTCTTAAAGGATCCCGTTCCCCTTGCACTTACCATGACTGTTGCAGCTGCCTGGGCTACTGCTGCCGCTTGATTTGTCTGGTGCTGAGCAGCTTTGATTTTGGCCTGCAAGTGAGCAGGAGGATGAAAATATTTGCATTTTTCCCTCAGGCAACGCCCTTTTATGTAATCCATACAAACAGTTACAGTGTTGTCATTTGTATCAATCATTGTGCTGTCAGCGGGATGTGCAAAGCGACAATCGGTTTCACCCCGTGCACAGTTTCCTCGCTGGAATTCCCGGCAAACCTGAGGCACAAAACAATATTTATTATGCTTGTGAGGGTAATTACACACTGAGCACAAGAAAGAATGTACAAGGCAATTTTTGAACTAGGCCCAAATAACCTCGGAAAATTGTTAAAACCTTTAATCTCTGTCTATAACAGGATTGCCAAACTTGCGGCCCATGGGCCGGATGCTTCATACGCTGGCCACACCCACGCCCGGTTTAGCGAAGAGGGGAAAAAGTCCCAATAGGTCACGTGATGCTGCCATGACGGTATGAGTTCGACACCTCTGGTCTATAACATGGGCTTCGCTATTGTATAAATTCTGCATGGATCTTGAATCCATCTGGGTCCTTGATTTCTCTGTGACTTTTAATCTTATCCATTTTGGTATCCTTTTGGACTATTTCACGGGTTAGGAAGGAGGATGTGGTGTTATGGTGCTTCTCCTTCCTCAGTGTTGACAGGGGAGACAGGTTTATCTCTGTTTTTTTGGGGTTCCATAAAGCTCCACCCTCTCCCCACTCCTTTCTATATGAAACTGGTGGGTGAAGTCATCGGATAATATGGAGCTAGGTGCCATTAGTGCATTGATAATACCCAGTTGTATATCTCAACTTCTGACAGAACTCAAGAAACAAGCTCAGATTTTCCACATGTAAAGGCCACCTCTCTCAGAATGCAGCATACAAAGTAGTAATGGGCTATAATTAACTGAACTTAATGTTTTTCCCTTAGTTTATCGTCTCTGTTTCCAAATTAATGTTCTCTACAAATTACATAATAGATTACAACTGCTGCACAAACAATATAATTACAAAACTCTGAGGAGATGATTTGTTCCAAAGGTGATTCAGGTGACCACTTTAACTGAATTTCTAATTGTTTAGAGCTCTTCTGTTCATCTACAGAAGTCATTCACCTAAACTAAAGCAGCCAGTCAAGATAGACAAGACCTGTGCTGATGTTTCATGAGGGTAGAAGATCTTCTTACCTTCTAGTGCAGAGGTGTCAAACTTCATTTTATTGAGGGCCACATCGTGGCCCAAGTGCTCTGCCAGAGAAGACAGGCTCCCAAGCTCCATTTTTAGATGGCCTCCTACAGCCCTCTGCCAGCAAAAAGAGAGCTCTCTCCCCCTCACTTCAGTTTTCACTGGAGAAAGGCTGCAGGAGGCCATCACAGCCGAAAACGGAGCCTGTTTTGCTGAAGAAGCCCAATGGGCTGGTCTTTCAGTGTTTTCAGGGCGGCCCCGCGGGCCAGATCTAAATATCCCGTGGGCCAAATCCAGCCTCCATTTTTGCTCATGACGGTCTCCTGCAGCCCTCTGCCAGCAAAAAGAGAGCTTGTTCTCACCCACCTCAGTTTTCGCTGGTAGAGGGCTGCAGGAGGCCATCGCAGCCGAAAACGGATCCTGTTTCGCTGGAGAAGCACCATGAGCTGGTCCTTCACTGTTTCCAGGGCAACCCCGCAGGCCACATTTAAACACCCTGTGGGCCAAATCCAGTCTGTGGGCCTTGCGTCTGACACCGCTGTTCTAGTGCTATGTGAAATGTATCAAAACAAAGTTTTGCATAGCCATAATAATGAACTCTGCACTTCTTCATACATCACAATTATGACATCAAATATCAGAATGGATGATCTGCATTGTTGATGCTAAGTAGCCAACTGAAATGAAATAGCCTTTTCTCTATATTTAAACATAGTCACTGTGTTTATTCACAATCCTATATAGCCAAATACCAAATACTGCATGTATCAGAAGAATGATGCTCATCATACCTCTAGTTTATCTGTCCTGAGGAGCTTTTGTGTTGTAGTTGATCCAGAGACAGAGACAGGATTTCCAGGAACAATTACAGATTGTGTGGGAACAATTTCCGTAGGAACCAATCCAACCCCAGAAGTAACCGGAGTTAAATATGGTGCAAAGTTTAGTGCTGGATTAGATCCTATTGTTGGTCCTACTGAAAATGATGGCTGAAAGAGAGAATAAAAAGGAATGATAAATAAGTATATAGAAATGAAAAATAAGCACATGGTCTGTAATAAATTCAATATCAAAGTTCACTGATTTATGTTAGAGGACTCCACACACATGCTACACTTAAATAACTCATATTTTGACTTGGTAGACTGTATCAACTCAATGTCTAGATATTTGTGGCTTTCTTAACAAATTAAACTGATTATTATGTTTTAATTTTGATGAACTAGTTCCAAAGGATTCTGAAACAAGCATACTTCATACTGAATAACTGACTCAGCATGAAAGCTGTGAAGCCATGTTTATGTTTGAGGGAGTTGATGTACACTGCATGTATATACATTAAAAATAGAGAAAGAATGGTTAACCAACCAAGGAATGGCCACAAAATTTACATTGGTATGAGCAAGTAGAAATAAATCAAAACTATAATTTATTATGCATGATTATCCTATATGTTATTCTTCTAACAAGGATGAAAACATTTATACATTAAGGGCCTTTTTGGTGTTATTCAACATCAAAGCATTTGATGTGAGATAAATTTTAAACATACATGAATTACTGCTTCAATGAAAACGGTGCTTCTTTCCTCTCAAGTCCAGATTTAAGCCTTTCTTAAAGGAAAAATAGCATTTGAAAAACATTAAATTTCTGATCCAAGCAGTATACAAATAAAGTGTGTGTGTGTGTGTGTGCGTGAGAGCACACTCATATGTATCTTCAAGTCACTATGGACTTGTGATTGCCTGGAAAGTCACCAAGTTTTCTTGGCAACATCATCCAGTTGATTTTATGCCAGATTAAAACTCCTGGTTTCTCACTTAATACCTTAACCACTAATTCATTAGTGAATTCATTAATTTTTTTAATGAACCTGGAAAAGAACAGCTGCAAAGGAAAAATGCATAAATAAATAAATATAGCAATAGCACTTACTTACATACCGCTTCATAGTGCTTTACAGCCCTCTCTAAGTGGTTTACACAATCAGCGTACTTTCCCCAACAATCTGGGTCCTCATTTTACCAACCTCTGAAGACTAGAAGGCTGAGTCAACCTTGAGCCGCTGAGGATTGAACCGCTGGCAGTCAGCAGAATTAGCCTGCGATACTGCATTCTAACCACTGCACCACCACAGCTCTGATTATTAACCAGAGATAATTTAATTTATAAATTAAATTAGGGCACCTGCCATCTCAGTCAAGTTCTCTGCAAAAGCCCTTGCATGTCTGGTAATGCAGAGGAGGAATCTGACCTCCAGGTTGATACTCAATGAAGCCTAAAAATACAATAAATTAATAATCAAAGATATATATGCCCATATTTCATTAATAAACACATGCTAACATTGCTTTACATTCATTCCTTCATCCATTTCTTACTATTTTTACTTTTAATGATTTCTATATTTCAAAAGGTTTCTGGGTCATTTTAAGATTTTCACATCACAGGCTACATTTTCATAACTAAATATTCACCAAACCACATAAATAACTTAGAAGGGTATGCAAATATTATATATTTATAAATATATGCATATATGTGATAAGCAAATTAATATATAAATTATTCAGCTTAACTGAATCTCACTATGTTTTTCTTTGTACTTTATCCAGAATAAACTGTCTGGCCCCTAAAATGCAGAAAGTTCAACCGCTACAATAAGATTACAAACAGAAAAGGTTCATACCAACGACTTATACATTTTTACTGGACAATATTTGATGACAGCATATTGTAATTTATAAATTAAAATGATAATAAATTCATTTATTTGTTTATAATGTTAGTCAGATGTCAGCTATGAAGAATAAAAAATTGGGCTGGCATTTCATTAAAAGTACTGACCATTGGCTGAAGAGGTGCTCCTGGGAAAATAAATTGCATCTGCTGAGCCAGCATAGCTGCTGCGGTTTTCTGTTGGATCAGGTTGTTTCTACCATTAATTTCTAGCTGAGTTTTCAAATGTGTTGGTGGGTGAAGATATTTGCAGTTCTCCCTCGTGCAACGCCCCTGAAAACGTTACAAAACAATCCATTTTGGGAAATTTTATAATGATCTGTTATTGTAAAGTAGCTATTTCATATCCTCAAAAAGAGCCTTTTGTATAAATCAAATAGCATATTGGACTGAATTGCTCTGTTGACATTTCTCTGAGGCATTAAACATCTATTATAATTGTATTATGTATTTTGCCAAAATTAGGGGGGAAGTATTCCCACATCTTTTCTTTAGTAATGCCCTGTAGATATAAAATATTGCAAAATCACATTTGATGAAGATTCTAATGTATGCTATAAAAAGGAAGGAGAGAAACAGAATAGGAATGCACTAAGGGAGATTCGAATCCTTTTCCATTGTCTTTCAAAAGTTTATATATAGGCATAAAGATGAATGAGAATAGAATTGCATTTTCCAAACCCATTTGAAGGGGTTCATAAACACCAAATCTCTGAAGCTGATCATCCAAATCTGTGGTGCTCACACATTCCAAAACTTATCCTGGAACAATTGTGTTTTTAATATACTATAGTCCAGTGATGGCTTACCTTTTCCGGACTGAGTACCCAAAGTGTGCCAAACCCCCAAAATGTAATGCACATGTGGCCCCCTGCATGTGCTCCACCCTCTGCGCATGCATGCATGGCCCCCTGCATTTGCCCTGCCCTCTGCGTATACGCCCCACCCCCATGCATGCGCGGCAGACCCAAATACCAGCTGGCTGGCGGGAGGCCCACACACATGTGCAACAGAACTGAGCTGGGGCGACAGCTTGTGTGCCCACAGAGGGCGCTGCATGCTACCACTGGCACACATGGGTATAGTGTATGGTATGGGAATAAGTATAAGTATAAAAGGAAAGGGAAAGATAAAAATGGGGGAAAGAAATAGGAACAGAAAGTGGAGGATAAGAATGACTTTCTTTCGTACAAATATAGATTTAAAATATATCAAACACTCAGTTTAAAGTAATTCACACTAGTTCTATAATCCAATATAATTCTTATTGTCCCCAAATCACAATTTCATTTCTTTCATTTTCTTGCAAAAAGTCCAAAAGTAGTTTCTTGATAGAAATAAAATTGTTAAGTCTTTTCTTTAAACAAAGCTGCCAGTTTCTGCCATTTCCGACAATTCCATTGGCTTAACCATCCATTTGTAAGTCTTTCCATTTTTGTGTACAGGTAGACCTTGAGTTACAACCATAACTGAGACCAAAATTTATGTTGCTAAGTGAAACATTTGTTAAGTGAGTTTTGGCCCATTCTATGACCTTTCTTGCTACAATTGTTAAGTGAACCATTGCAGTTAAGTTAGTAACACGGTTCTTAAGTGAATCTGCCTATTCCACTGACTTTGCTTGTCAGAAGGTTGCAAAGGGTGATCACATGACCCCAGGACACTGCAACCGTCATAAATATGAGTCAGTTCCCAAACATCTGAATTTTGATCATCTGATCATAGGGATGCTGCAATGGTTGTGTGAAAAATTGTCATTTTTTTCAGTGCCATTGTAACTTTGAACAGTGACTAAATGAACTGTTATAAATCAAGGGCTACCTGTATTTAGAAGTCTCATTGCTATCATACACAAAAATTCCACAAGATTTTCTCAATGTTTGTCCATTAACTTCAAAAGGAAGCACACTTGTTTCAACGGTACATTTCATTTTAATATCTTCTGAATCAAATATATATTTTGATCCCAACGTTTTCTAGTTTTCTTACATGGCCACCAAAAGTAAGAGTGTACCTTCAGTGTCATTACATTTACAACAAATATTTAAAATCCAATTATACATGTGGAGTCCTTGATCATGGTTGTTTTCTTGCATATATGCTTTTATCCAACTAGGTAACATCATCAGTTCTAGAATGGAGTGGGGTTTGCTCTCTGTTTATATACCAACTTCTTGACTTGTCAGTGTTGGTGGGAGTTTGTTTTCTTCTTGACACTTCCTTGATTAAGCTGTTGTTTACTGTTTATTTGTCTCAGTTGATAGTTCCTTGATTGGGGTATTGATTAACTGCTTGATTGTTGGCCTGGTTTTAATCCTGATGATAATTTCTGTTTATCAAGTTGTGGATTGCTGGCAAGGAGGTTTATACATCTTAGCATTAATATGGTCAACATTTCTACACAGTGCCACATCAAATTCAGTCTTACCATTTTCAAACTCATTGTTCTTTTTATCAGATTTTAACCTTTCCATTAACTGAACACAAAAAAAACCCATCACACATGTAACCTTTCCATTCTGGATCCTCTCTTGTTTTCAACTTAAATCCTCCTTGAGAAAAAGATCAATATATCAGCACAATCTAATCTATCTTTTCTTTCTTTCTCCTCTTTTTTTGATTTATTTTGTATTGTAAGCCGCCCGGAGTCCTACGGGATTGGGCGGCATATAAATGTTATTAAACTTTAAACTTTAAACAAGTTAGCATTTTTGTTTAGATATTATTTCCCTCTCCATTCCTAACATTTGCTATATGTACATTAATACTACATTATATATTCAACCTGAAAAATACAGGTAGTCTTCAACATAGGACCACAATTGAGCCCAACATTTATGTTGCTAACTGAGACATTTGTTAAGTGAGCTTTTCTCCATTTTACGACCTTTCTTGCCACAATTGTTAAGTGAATCCCTGCGGTTGTTCTGCAACCGCCATAATTGTGAAAAACAGTCGTACGTCACTTTTTTTCAGTGCTTATAACTATGAGGGGTCACTAAATGAACTGTTGTAAGTTAAGGACTATCTCTATTGACAATTGCTTTTCATGTCTTGTTTTAGGAGGTTTCTAAAGGACTGGGAAGCTCACCCCTCTTGATAAACTAGAAGATCTCTTGAACTGACTAACTACAAAGATTGCAACCAAACAATAATTGTACAGTTCTGTTTGGATTATATTATTGAGCTGTGCATCTATGTACACATGTATATGTTATAAAACTAGACTAAATGTGTATTTGGCTAAATCATGTTTTATTTCTCTAAGTACAAAAAATTGTGTGGTTTAAATCCTTGCAAACTTTATCAAACCCTTTTGACAGAGCCAAGGTGGCGCAGTGGTTAAATGCAGCACTGCAGGCTACTGCTAGATCAGCAGTTCAGCGGTTCAAATCTCACCGGCTCAGGGTTGAC